CCTTATTGCTGCTTGCAACCTCACCGCGTGTTTGGCTCAGTGGAAGCTGCTCTCTCCTCCTCACATGATGTAGACAGTTGACTGTTTTGGCAGCAACTTCATTTCACTTCTTTCCTGTGACTGATGCACTGGGAAGGATGAGCACAAAGCGTGAAGAAGCAGGACATGAGACTGTCTGTGTCTTGTGCCCTTGACGTGGACGGGGTGACTTGAGAGGGAGGAAAAGGTGACAAATCTGCAGTCACAAGTGGCAAAATGAACCTGAACGTTAAGAAGGGAGCTGCCTAGCACTGCGTTTTATGTTTGAAGGTTGGTCTGCACTGCACAGTACAAAACAGCATGAAAATGGCTTACATAGCTTTAAGTACCTATTGCACAAAGCTTTGAGAAACAAATTCATACAAAACATGGAGTCACATGCAAAATCTGGCGAAAAGGGGTGAAGGGAAATGTGGGAGCTCTGTGCTTCCACATCCGCAGAGTTTGTGGTACCCGCTGGGGAAAGCAGCTCCGCAGGACAGCAGGGATCTCTGCACAAGCATCCTCAGAGGGTGCCGAGCCCTGTGCAGGGGACACCACCAGGGAGGTGGCATCAGCTCAGTGCTGGTGACCTGGGAGGTTGCGGGGCAAGGACTGACCCTGCTTTTGGGTCCGTTATGGCCCAGAGATGCAAAATGGGTGGAGATGCAGCGGCCCGGTGTGGGATTGGTTTTTATCTCCAGTTTTGCTTAGCAACGCCAGTCCGGCCTCTCGCCTTGTGGTACCTCTGTTTTTATAAGCGTTTGTCAGCTGTTTCTGTGGCTGCAATTTCATGGTCTCCTGGATCTGGCAGGAGTGACACTGTTCCCCAAAGAAGCGGCCCTGCCTTCTCTGGCTGCCTGTTCCTGCACCGCCTCGGTCCTCCCTTTCCTAGGGCTACGTCTGCATTAGCTGCCAGGACAGCTCAAAGGCAGTGGATTTAGGGAGCGATAGAGCTGTGGGAGGACCTGCCGTCTGCACTATGGGTGTTTCAAGCTGGGTACTGGTGCTGATACCCGTTAATGACCATGCATTAGCAGGTGGAGGGCTTTAGGTGCACTGCTGCACCTTAAATGTGCTTCCCCTTTTATCCCCACTCAAATGAGCTCAGTGCATTTGTTTTCTGTGATTGGAGCCCAAGAGGGAGAGGCCAGAACCATCCATTCACCTCCAGGGAGGTGAATCCAAAGGGCTCTCCTAACCCAAAGTCAACACAGACACCGGTGTCGACACGGCAGCTTGAAGAACCAGCCCCTGGAGCACATCAAAAGCAAAAAGGAGCTGGTTGTAGTTCGGACCATCCTCTGATCCGACGTGTGTTATCTTTTGTGCATTTGGGTCAAGATTTAAGAGGGGCTGAGGGCTGCTCATAAGCTACAGTAGGAAAGTGGATCTACTTTCTGGAAAGCACATTATATAGCTTTAAAAGGACTGTGAAATCATGGGCTGTACTGGCCATGGGCTCCTTGCAAGAGGGACCAACACCCACAATGAACAAAGTATGTACAGTGCACACTGAGATATACTGCACATAGCATGGGGATGGGGAGACCAGTTTCATCTGAGACCTTTCAGAGCTGCTGTAATGCAAACAGTCATGATCTTGTGAGGAACACAGGAAAGAGCATTTAATTATGCCCATAATGTCTGAGAGAGCCACTGTGCAGCGGGCTCGCATCCTTCCGAACAAACCCCATATTGTGAAGGGCTCTCTGAGTGCTTCCTTCTTCCCTTTTCCCTTTCTCTCCACCTCGAACATGCCTGGAACGCCGTTTTTGCTTCGTTTTGCTACTAACATCTTTTTTTTTTTTTTTTCCTTCTGCGTCTGCATTTTTCCCCCGTCCCTCTCTTCACAACATGCCCATTGAAAACCCTAATTGCAGATCCCAGGCTGCAATTAGTTTGCACGCTGTATGAAGTTCGCTTCATTACGGCTCTTTTGGCTGCCGGACACGAACGGGCTTGGAAGCAGCAGCGCCTGGACAGGGCGCCGACCCTCTCTCCTCCGCTTGGGCTGCCACCCCGCTCCAAGGACTGCCATTCTGCTGTTTCCCTCCTTTCCCATTTCCCTCATATGGCCTCTTCTTCACCCTCATATGGTGTTTTTTTTCCCCCCCAAAGAAACTCCATGGCTTGTGCTCCAGGTTCCGCGGAAGCCGCACGGCACCGGGACGCGCTCCGCCGGCGCCGGGACCGAGGTGCGCGGCGCTTCGGTGGCCACCGCGCTCCGGGGGCGTCCGCTGGGCATCAGCCCCGTGCGGGGGGTTTGCCCGGCGACAGGAGCCTCCCGTCCTTGTCCCCCCTGC